CATATAGAATTCCATATTGTTTTTGTGATGAATCACGATGCTTTCATTATGTTCAATTTGTAACCATGAAAATACATCCCGCATATCAGATATTTACATGACGATTCATCACAGTAGCAACATGACAGTGATGAAGTAGCAACGGAAATAATTTTATGGTTGGGGGTCCCCACAACACGAGGAGCTGTATGAAAGGGTCGCGGCGTGAGGAAGGTTGAGCACCACTGACTTAGCACAAGTCCACAGGAGCCGAACAGCCGGCTGGTAAGAGCAGGATGTGGGAGAAAAAGAAAATGACCGTCCCAACAAGTACGAATCCATGAAGAACGGTGCGTCTTTGCGTGGAGGGAACTCGGACTCCATGTCACAGTGGAAGACACAGTGTTGACCTAATGAGGACGAAGGCAGCCGATCAATGTTTCTCTCTCATCATGGATGTTTCTCTCTCTCCCTCTCCCTCCCGTCACAGACGTGATCCTGCTTATACATTGAACGACACGCAAGGCGATGCTCCATAGGGGTTAGGGGCTTATGCGTAGGTAGCAAAGGCATTTTTTATTTTTGTAAATATCAATATATATAAAAGCCAAGCGACTGGTCGCTATGACATGGACTGCAGCCGGCCAACCTCCCTCGGCCCCTCCCCCTGGACAGCCCCGCCCTGATCAGCCCCCCCAACCTCGATCAGGGCCAGGGCCGGCTGGACCCTACCTGTGCACGAATTTGTGCACCGGGCCTCTAGAATATGTATTTTTTTTAATTCTTTTTTTTAAAATATATTTTATTGATTTTTTACAGAGAGGAAGAGAGAGATAGAGAGCCAGAAACATCGATGAGAGAGAAACATCGATCAGCTGCCTCCTGCACATCCCCCACTGGGGAAGTGCCCACAACCCAGGTACATGCCCTTGACTGGAACCGAACCCGGGACCTTTCAGTCCGCAGGCCAACACTCCATCCACTGAGCCAAACCGGTTTCGGCTTCTTTAATTCTTTATTGCTGAAAGTATGGCATCGGTCTCCTTTTTCCCCACGGACCTCTCCCTGACACTCCCACGCCCCAGCACATGCCCTCACCCCCTAGTGCAGTGATGGCGAACCTATGACTCATTTTTTTGGTTGATTTTTCTTTGTTAAATGGCATTTAAATATATAAAATAAATATCAAAAATATAAGTCTTTGTTTTACTATGGTTGCAAATATCAAAAAATTTCTATATGTGACACGGCACCAGAGTTAAGTTAGGGTTTTTCAAAATGCTGACACACTGAGCTCAGAAGGTTCGCCATCACTGCCCTAGTGTCTGTGTCCATTGGTCATGCTCAAATGCATGCACACAAGTCCTTTGGTTGATCTCATACCTCCCACCCTATTAAATATATATATGTATATATTTTTAGCAAAGGTGAAAATTTATTGAAGAACCAGTAAGGGGAGGGGGAAAGAGTCCCCTAAAATACATTTTTATTGATTTTAGAGAGAAAGGGAGAGGGAGAGAGAACTAGAAACATCAATGATGAGAAAACCATTGATCGGCTGCCTCCTGCACGCCCCCTACTGGGTATGGAGCCCGCAACCCGGAATCGAACCCAAGGACCCTTCAGTCCGCAGGCCGACGCTCTATCCACTGAGCCAAACCAGCCAGGGCCAAACAATTGTGCTTTTTGCTACTGGAAGGTCTTGCCTTCAACTGGGAGAAAAAAGAATTGCACCAACCTGTGAAGCGCAATAAAGCGAGGTATGTCTTCCATTGTGAGGTTTTCCTTCTTTATTTCTATTGGCATTAAAAATGCGCCTGCTTCTTTAACAGGCGTGCTCTGGGTAGGGGCTGCCCCGATCCGATCCGTCAGGAGGAACCGAGGCCCGCAGGGAGCGCTCACTTGGCCAGCGGGACAGGCGGAGGGGTCACAGGAGGCGGCCTCCCGCTGGCGGCAGGAGGCACGGGGCGGAGGCGAGGCGGGAGGCAGGCGGCCAGCTGTAGTGAGGGGTGTGTCCACGCTGGGCCCGGACTGCAGCCTCCCCCCGTCTCCCCCCCTCCAGGTCACTCCGGGTGACCCCGCAAGTGGCAGTGGCGTTGCTAAATGGGGACGTGCAAAGCTCCGGGGATCAGCGGGAGCCTGCGCGTGGGTGTGCGCTGGGCGCGCTGGGCAGACCCAGGTGCGGGCCTGCAGCCTGACCTCGGAGCTCTGCAGCCCCCGCACCCGGCGGCCCAAGCCCCCAGGGAGGAACTCAGCCCCCGGAGGGCAGGCACTGGGTCTGCCTCACAGCTGCCCCGGCAGGGGGCGGGGGGCAGGGGGCAGGGGGCAGGGGCCAGCCCCGGACCCCAGAGCCTCCTAGGATCCCGGCTCTGCCTCCGCTGCGGGCTGCTGCACCTCAGTGTCCCCACCCCTAAAGTGGGAACCCTCATTCTACCCTTTGCAGGGAGGACCGGTCCTAGGAGGTCCTGAATGAATTAAAAAAAAAAAAAAAAAAAAAGAGCCTGGGCCTGCAATCCACATCATCACATTATTTCATTGTTTGTTTATTTTTAGAGGGAGTAAAAAGGAGGGGGAGAGAGAAAGAAACATCAATGATGAGAATCATCCATCAGCTGCCTCCTGCACGCCCTCCCCCCACCACCACCACCACTGGGGATCCAGCCCCCAATCCGGCATGTGTCCTGACCGGGAATCAAACCGTGACCCCCTAGTTCAGAGGTTGATGCTCAACCACTGAGTCACGGCAATCACTTTGAGCTTTTTAAAAATATATGTATTTGCCAAAACCGGTTTGGCTCAGTGGATAGAGCGTCGGCCTGCAGACTGGAGGGTCCTGGGTTCGATTCCGGTCAAGGGCATGAACCTGGGTTGCGGGCACATCCCCAGTGGGGAGTGTGGAGGAGGCAGCTGATCGGTGTTCCTCTCTCATCAACGTTTCTAACTCTCTATCCCTCGCCCTTCCTCTCTGTAAAAAATCAATAAAATATATTTTTAAAAAAATAAAAATATATATTTGTTATTGATTTCAGAGAGGACAGGAGAGTTAGAAACATCGATGATGACAGAGAATCATTGATCGGCTGCCTCCTGCACGCCCCCTACTAGGGATCGAGCCTGCAACCCTGGTACGTGCCCTTGGCCGGAATCAAACCCAGAACTCTTTAGTCCACAGGCCAGCGATCTACCCACTGGGCGACCCAGGCAGGACCCGCCGGAGCATTTTAAAGCAAACATCAGGCAGCGTGTCCTTTCAGCCCCCAATTTTGCCACAGGCTGTCGTTGACTTTAAAATACTTCATCCCACCCCCACCCCCACCCCAGAAACCAGATAAGGTGAGGATGGCGCAAAGTCTCGCTGGCGAAGTCTGGTTACCGGCCTGAGGGTGTTCATTGCGGCCCTTTTGACTTTTCTGTATGTTGGCAGCTTTGCACAGTCAAACCTCCCAAAGGTCAAAGAGCAAAGGAACTTCTCCCTCTCACAGCCCCCCTCCCCCAGGGGCAACACCGCGCTGGTTTCCGGGGATCCTTCCAGAGCGGGGGCGAGGCTGTTGCTGTCTTTATTAATAGCAGCTGTAGTAGCGTGAAAACCGATGCCTGCGGGCGACAGCGCCGTGAGTCAGCCTGGCCCCCGGCCCGGCCCGCTGACACCTCTGCCCCTCTGGCCTTCGGAAGGCCATCTGTGTCTCGGAACCTCAGTTTCCTGCTCTGCAAACTGGGGATAAATCTCCACTTTTATCGGGTGGCTGGGAGGATCCCTGTAAAGCAACGCCCCCCACCGCACCCCTAAGCCAGGCTCAGAGCAGGTGCTGAGGGTGTGGGAGAAGGCCCTTCCCCACCCATCTCTGAGCTGAGGGTTCCTGGGTCTGAGGGAGGAGGGGCTGGGGGCCTGGGCTCCTGGGTCTGAGGGAGGAGGGGCTGGGGGCCTGGGCTCCTGGGTCTGAGGGAGGAGGGGCTGGGGGCCTGGACCCCTGGGTCTGAGGGAGGAGGGGCTGGGGGCCTGGGCTCCTGGGTCTGAGGGAGGAGGGGCTGGGGGCCTGGGCTCCTGGGTCTGAGGGAGGAGGGGCTGGGGGCCTGGACTCCTGGGTCTGAGGGAGGAGGAGCTGGGGGCCTGGACCCCTGGGTCTGAGGGAGGAGAGGCTGGGGGCCTGGACTCCTGGGTCTGAGGGAGGAGGGGCTGGGGGCCTGGACTCCTGGGTCTGAGGGAGGAGGGGCTGGGGGCCTGGGCTCCTGGGTCTGAGGGAGGAGGGCTGGGGGCCTGGACTCCTGGGTCTGAGGGAGGAGGGGCTGGGGGCCTGGACTCCTGGGTCTGAGGGAGGAGGGGCTGGGGGCCTGGGCTCCTGGGTCTGAGGGAGGAGGGGCTGGGGGCCTGGGCTCCTGGGTCTGACTCCTGGGTCTGAGGGAGGAGGGGCTGGGGGCCTGGACTCCTGGGTCTGAGGGAGGAGGGACTGGGGGCCTGGGCTCCCGGGTCTGAGGGAGGAGGGGCTGGGGGCCTGGGCTCCTGGGTCTGAGGGAGGAGGCTGGAAGCTGGGCCTTGGGAATGCTCTCCCTGGCTCCGGAGCCAGCACTGCCAGGCACAGAGGGACCCAAATGCACAGAGCTCTATGCTATGCGCCCCGGGTTAGGCCTGTGGGGGGGTTTGTCTCCCCTGTTCCCGCAGCCTCAGGCCTGGCCTCCGGGGGTTCACAATGTGTTTTGTCCCCTCTGTCCTGGGACTAGAGCCCAGACTCCAGGCTGGTCTAAGTTTGGAAGGGGGAGGGAGGGGGGGCCGCAGGTCAGAGGGGGTGAGGGAGGGGTGTGAGGGGGGACGGGATGTCTCCGGGCTGTCACACACACCCCTGTCCCAGGCCCAGGAAAAGGGAGGGACAAAAGACTCAGAGGGAGAGAGAGAGAGTCAGGAACAAAGACAGGAGGAGGGAGACGAGACTCCCAGGAGAGGCGGCTCCGGGGAAGCCGGCTTGAGGGGAAACCAGAGAAACAGAGAGAGGGAGGGCCGAGTGGAGTGGGGGCCGTCCTGTCGCAGACGGTGGCGACAGCAGTGGAGACAGCGCGGGGACGAGAGAGAGGGGCCAGGGACCAGCAGAGACAGGACAGGGAGTCCTACCCCAGAGACCCGAGACCTGGGACCCGGGCCGGACAGACAGGAGGGTGGTGTGGAGGTGAGGGAGGGGAAGAAGAGGTGAGAAGGAGTGAAAGACGTCAACAGAGCAGGACCCACAGACACCCGGAGGCTAAAAGAGGGGAGAGGGGTGAGGTAGAGAGCGAGCTCAGAGGAATCTGTGGGCTCAGGCGCAGGGGGAGACCGGGCCGGAGCCCTTCAGACGAGCTCCCAGACCACGCAGTGGGTTGAGTGGGCCGGTCGCCTTTCGAGGAACCTAGACGAGGGGCAGCCCAAGGGCCTGATGACACCAGGCAACCCCAAGATGGAGCTCAGGGACCCCGAGAACCAGGAGGATGGGGACCCAGAGGTGAGAGATGGAAACAAGGGAAGAAGAGAGAGAGAGACAGAGAGACAAAGAGGTAGATGCAGAGAGAAACAGTCAGAGAGAGCAGGGGCAGGGGCAGAAGGCAGGCAAGAGGGACGGAGAAGGAAACAGAAGAGCCTGGGAAACAGAGAAACATCAGAGACTCAGAATAATACAAACCCAAGGACACACAGCAAGACCGAGGCCCCAGAGGAAGGCGCTCAGGAGCCAAGAATGGGGAGCACAGGGAGAGAGGAGGATGGAGAGAGAGGAGGATGGAGAGAGAGAGAGATGGTGGAGTGGAAGGGGGGGCGTGTTGTGAGGGTGAAGATGCAGCCCCAGTCGAAGCTGGGGGCTTCTTGGGGCTCCCACAGTTGGCCGTGGGTGGGGTCTCTGAGACAATCACCCTTAACCTTGCCAGGACACAAAAACAGGTGTCCTGAGGCCTGGTGAGTCACCCTGACTCATCCTCCTTTCTGGGGCCAGTGACCCCATCCCCTGACCCCCCACATCAGCCCTGGGGCTGGCCACCAACCTCCTCTCGCGCTCTCAGTGGGTCCCAGGCTCACCCCTCCCCACTGTGTCCCTCACCGGCAGGAGGACACAGCCACGGCCCTCCAGCGGCTTGTGGAGCTGACAGCCACCAGGGTGACCCCAGTGAGGAATCTGCGGGCCCAGTATCGCCTCATCCGAAAGCTTGGCTCGGGCTCCTACGGCAAAGTGCTCCTCGCCCGGCCCCGCCAAGGGGGTGAGTTCGGCCACCGGAAGGCAGCCTCTGGGACTCCCCGTAGGAGGGTTCTCAGAAGCCCCCGAGACAGGGGACATCCCGGGGAGAGCAGGTGGGACCCTTCTCAATCAGGGCTCCCCAGATGTTAAGAGCTCTGTGATCTTCTGAGGAACAGAGCCCACCCAGAGAGGGTAAGGAACTTGCCTGAGACCACACAGCCAGGTGGGCGCGCCCTGAGTCCCCTTCTGCCCCTTCTCCCCGGCAGGTCCGGCTGTGGCTCTGAAGCTCCTGCGTCGGGACTCGGTCCCGAGATCCACCTTCCTGAGGGAGTTCTGCGTGGGCCGCTGCGTCTCCTCACACCCGGGCTTGCTCCAGACCCTGGCGGGACCCCTGCAGACCCCCCGGCACTTCGCCTTCACCCAGGAGTACGCGCCCTACGGGGATCTCAGCGGGCTGCTGCAAGAGCGGGTGAGGCAGGCAGGGGACAAAGGCTGGGACTGCTCATCTCAGGTGCCACTTTGTCCCAAAGCCCACTGCTATCTCCAACCCTGAGTCCCAAATCAGTGCCCATCTTAGCTCCCCCCAAAGGCCCCAAACGACCTCCTGATTCCTAATTCTCAATGCAATTTCTTGTCGGACCCCAACCCTAATTCATCCAAACACAAGCCTGGAGGGGCAGGGAGGTGGGGTCGGGACGGAGGGCGGATTAGGTCTGATGACGGCGGTGGGGATGGAGACAGAGCTGGGATACCGGTGAGCACTGAGATCGGGAGTGTGGGCATGCGTGGAGCGGGTGGGCTGAGTTTAGAGCTGTTATAGACTGGTAATGCGTGTGGAGAAGAGCATGGATGGGGTTGGAGCGTGAGGCAGAGGATATGCTTATAGATTGAGTCCAAGATGAGCTGTATCGAGGTTTCCTCTACAAAGATCGAATCCATGAGATTCTAGGGGGACTTGAGCATGATGGTTAAGGTGGGACCATCTTTTTGGGAATTGGCTTTAGATTTGAGATAGGGTTGGAATAAACAGAAGGAGGGAGGGAAGGAAGGAAGGAAAGAAGAAAGGATGGGTGATAGGAAGGATGGATAAATGGATGGATGGATGGATGGATGGATGGATGGAAAGAAGGAAGGCAGGAAGGGTGGGTAATTGATGAGTAGAAGAAAGGAAGGCAAGAAGAAAACGTGGAAGGAAGGAAGGAAGGAAGGGTAGATGGGAGGAGAGGAAGGGTGGAAGGAAGGGTGGAAGGAAGGGAAGAAGGAAGGGTGAATGGAAGGAAGATGGAAGAATGGATAGAAGGATGGAAGGGTAGGTGGAAGGATGGATGGATGGATGGAAGGAAGGAAGGAAGGAAGGAAGGAAGGAAGGAAGGAAGGAAGGAAGGAAGGAAGGAAGGAAGGGAGGGAGGGAGGGAGGAAGGAAGGAAGGAAGATAGGAAGGGTGGATGAATGGATGGAAGGAAGGATGTGTGGGTGGATGGAAGGAAGATGGGTGGATGGATGGACGGATGGAAGGAAGGGTGGAAGGACTGAAAGAAGGAATTGTATATGGAAGGACGGGAGGAAGAAAGACAAGAAGGAAGAGTGGGTAGAAGGAAGGAGAGGTACATGAAAAAAAGAAGAGATGGATTTTGGATATTAAATAACTGCATAAATTATTGGATTGCTAACTGTCTGGTGGGATGGACATTGAATGAAAACACTGCAGAATAGACTGTTGGGTGGAAAAGTGGTTTGACAGATGGGTTGCTGGCCAGCTGCCTGGCTAGCTGGGTGGATGGATTTATCAATTGACTGAGGAAGGGCACTGTGGACATTTGGAGCAAGGTCTGAGTTGGAGATGGGACCTAAATTAGCATGGGACTAAGGACAGAATTGAGTGTGGGGCTTGTGTTCTCACTGGAGATCTGAGTAGTCCGTTCAGAGGAGGTGAATAAGAAATGGAAGGGATGGTTTCGGGTGTTAGGGTTAGGGGCACGTTTGGTGGAAGCTAAAAGAGCTCCCGGTTCAATGTGGGGTTTGGTCTATGGCCGTACAGAAGGGGGTGCTCGCTGGGGTTGAAGATGATCTGGAGAAGGTGTTGGGGGGAGGTTATGGGGACACCAGAGGTAGCCACTGGTCTGGGGTTCTGGATTCTTGAACCCCAAGGAGCCAAATACAGAAGGAACCAGCCTTAGCCAGTTTGGCTCAGTGGATAGACCAGTGATGGCGAACCTTTTGAGCTCGGCGTGTCAGCATTTTGAAAAACCCTAACTTAACTCTGGTGCCGTGTCACATATAGAAATTTTTTGATATTTGTAACCATAGTAAAACAAAGATGTATATTTTTGATACTTATTTTATACTAGTTGCCTGGTGCACAGATTCGTGCACATTGAAAGGAAAATAATTAAAAGAAATATTTTAATATTGCTATTTGCCCTTTCTCTGTAATGGGAGTGTCAGAGCTGCCACTGGTCACCATCTGTGCAGTGATCAGCAGAGCATTCGGGCCCCCACTGGCACCCTCATTGGCCTGATGCTGCCCGCTCACCTGCTCTACCATCCCACCGTGGTCCTGCTCTCATTGGGGGCCCATTGGGCCCGGCAGGGCCTCCACTGCTGCCCACTGTCAGCACTGCATTGCCAATATCTGCCATGTTCTGTGCCACCCCCGATGATCAGTGCACATCATGGCAAACAGTTGAACTCCTGGTCAAACTCCCAGTCAAGGGGGAAATTTGCATATTAGGCTTTTATTATATAGGATATTTAAATGCCATTTAACAAAGAAAAATCAACCAAAAAAATGAGTTTGCATGTCACCTCTGACACGCGTGTCATAGGTTTGCCATCACTGGGATAGAGCGTCAGCCTGCAGACGGAAGGGTCCTGCGTTTGATTCTGGTCAAGGGCACGTATGTCGGTTGCAGGCTCCTCCCCAGCCCGGGCCCTGGTCTGGACTCATGCAGGAGGCAACCAATCGATGTGTTTCTCTCACATCGATGTTTCTCTCTGTCTTTCCCTCTCTCTCCCACTCTCTCTAAAAATCAATAGAAAAATATCCTCGGGTGAGGATTAAAAAAAAAAATGAAGGAACCAAGGCCCCCTGACCTTCACCCTCTCCCCTTGACCCCAGGGCCTCCCCGAGCTGCTGGTGAAGCGGGTGATGGCCCAGCTGGCCGGGGCCCTGGACTTCCTCCACAGCCGGGGGCTGGTGCACGCCGACGTGAAGCCGGACAACGTGCTGGTCTTCGACGCCGCCTGCAGCCGCGTGGCCCTCGGGGACCTGGGCCTGACCCGGCCGGAGGGCAGTCCGACCCCGGCGCCCCCGGGGCCGCTGCCCTCCGCCCCGCCCGAGCTCTGCCTTCTGCTGCCCCCCGACACCCTGCCCCTGCGGCCATCCCTGGACTCCTGGGGCCTGGGGGTGCTCCTCTTCTGCGCCGCCACGGCCTGCTTCCCCTGGGACGTGGCGCTGGCCCCGGACCCCCAGTTCGAGGCCTTTGCCGGCTGGCTGACCACCCGGCCCCAGCCGCCTCGACCGCCCCGCCCCTGGGACCGGTTTGCGCCCCCGGCTCTGGCTCTGCTCCAGGGCCTGCTGGACCTGGACCCCGAGACCAGGAGCCCCCCACTGGCGGTCCTGAACTTCCTGGGGGACGACTGGGGGCTGGAGGGGGACAGTGGGGGGCCTGGGGGCTCGGGGAGCATCTCTGGGGAGGATGGGGAGGAGGAAGAGGAGGGATCCAGCTTGGAGGAGTGGACAGAGGAGGAGGAGGAGGGGGACCCGGGCAGCGTGAGGGTGGGGACAGATGGGGGAACTCCCGGACCAGGTGACTGAGCAGGTGGCCGGGCCCGAGCCAGAGGCCCCTCCCGCAGCCTCCACGGCCACCTGGATGGAGAGACAGCTGCTCCCGAAGGACAGACGCGGCCCATCAGGTCTCTCCCTTCCGGAGGCCGGATGTGGCCGCACTACCCCCTCCCCCTCCCCACACGAGGACCCAGGAGCCCAGGCCCCCAGCCCCTCCTCCCTCAGACCCAGGAGCCCAGGCCCCCAGCCCCTCCTCCCTCAGACCCAGGAGTCCAGGCCCCCAGTCCCTCCTCCCTCAGACCCAGGAGCCCAGGCCCCCAGCCCCTCCTCCCTCAGACCCAGGAGCCCAGGCCCCCAGTCCCTCCTCCCTCTGAACCAGGAGTCCAGGCCCCCAGTCCCTCCTCCCTCTGAACCAGGAGTCCAGGCCCCCAGTCCCTCCTCCCTCTGAACCAGGAGTCCAGGCCCCCAGCCCCTCCTCCCTCAGACCCAGGAGTCCAGGCCCCAGCCCCTCCTCCCTCAGACCCAGGGGTCCAGGCCCCCAGCCCTCCTCCCTCAGACCCGGGGGTCCAGCCCCTCCTCCCTCAGACCCAGGAGTCCAGGCCCCCAGCCCCTCCTCCCTCAGACCCGGGGTCCAGCCCCTCCTCCCTCAGACCCGGGGGTCCAGGCCCCCAGCCCCTCCTCCCTCGAGCTCCCTCCCCTCCTCTTCCTTCTGCCCTGATGGCGTCTCCATGGAGGAAGGCGCTGCTCCCCCTGTGGATCCGCATCCGCACTGTGGGCCTCGCCGGATGTGGGGACGTGGCCTTCCTGTGCGGGCGCTCCTCTCCTCTAAAACCTCGCACGGCTCCCACCGACCCCGGCACCAAACCTGGGCTTTCAGGACCCGACGCCACTGGGAACCGCAGCCTGCGCCGCCTCTCCGTGTCCCTGGGCTCCTGACCCTGAGGGAGCCACGCAGGCCCCGAGGACCTGTATCTGTGCACGCACGCAGGCGCACGCACCACGCACACACGTGCACGCAGGCGCACGCACCACGCACACACGTGCACGCAGGCGCACGCACCACGCACACACGTGCACGCAGGCGCAGGCGCACGTGCACGCAGGAACTCACGTGCACGCACACGCAGGCGCGCACAGGGCTTCCTGTGTCCTCCCTGGGAGTCGCCCAGATGCCCCCGCCTCCGCCCTCTTGGCCCCACGGACTGGATCAGATCGAGTGGTCGTGGCTCAGGGTCAGGCAGGGGGGCTGGGGGACTCTGTCCTGCCTGAGGTCAGCCCGGCCGGTGTGGCTCAGTGGTTGAGTGTTGACCTAGGAACCAGGAGGTCAGGGTTCGATTCCGGTCAGGGCGCAGGCCCGGGTTGCGGGCTCGAATCCCAGTGTGGGGCGTGCAGGAGGCAGCCGATCCATGATGCTCTCTCATCACTGATGCTTCTCTCTTTCCCTTCCTCACTGAAATCAATAAAAATAGATTTAAAAAAAAAAAGAGTGGGTTCACTTTGCACAGCAACGTGGTGTCCTGGGTTGACCCCTGGGGCAGAAGGGGGTTGTTGGGGGAAACATGGGGCGTCGTGCACCGTGGGCCATCGGCCGGGAGACACTGAGCTGAGCGGGGAGGCCCTGGGTGAGGGGACCCAGGAGCGCTCAGCACCATCTTTGCAACTGTCCCCCAAATCTAACATTCTGGAACAAAAGTTTATTCTGAAAGCATTGCGTTCGGCCCTGACCGGTGTGGCTCAGTGGATGGAGCATCGGCCTGCGGACTGAAGGGTCCCGGGTTCGATTCCGGCCAAGGGCATGTACCTGGGTTGTGGGCACATCCCCATTGGGGGGTGTGCAAGAGGCAGCTGATGGATGTTTCTCTCTCATCGATGTTTCTAACTCTCTATCCCTCTCCCTTCCTCTCTGTAAAAAATCAATAAAATACATTTTAAAAAATAAAAAATAAAAGCATTGTGTTCACACCTGTCCTCTGGCCGGCGACCTGAGGGCTGGGTGCCTGGCCCAGGCATCCGGCTTCCTCGCTGAGTGAGACCCGGGTCCCCGCCGGCTTCTCCCCAGGGCGACGCCCTCCCCGCCGGCCCCTCTTCCCAGTTGTCCACCACCTGCTGCCCCTCGGTCCCAAGTCTGAGCTCATCCCTCACCGCATCGGTCTGGAATCCGTTGTCTCATCCTCTCCCACAGGACCCCAGTGTCTTGTCCCGGGGACACCCTCACCCGACACTTGCGTCTGCCCCGCTGATGGGCAGCTGGGGTGAGGGCAGGGGATCCACAGAGAAATGACCTCACCCTCTACAGGTGGTCCCGATCCTGGGTCCCAGGGAGGAGGCTGGGGCCTGGACTCCTGGGTCTGAGGGAGGAGGAGCTGGGGGTCTGGGTGTGGGACATTTGTTCCTCCACAGCCAGTTCTGGGAGTCAACACACGAGGGCGCTCCATCCCTAGTGGGATGGAGGGGGCGGGGCCATGGGCGGGGCTTAGGACCCTATGTGGGGGCGGGGCCTCGCTCCTGGGCAGGCCTCCGCTGGCCTGGGCTCTAAGTGCTGGACACTGACCACAGCGGGCAGCCCAAGGGTCAGGCCAGCCTTGGAGAAGGTGAGGTCCGGAGTCGGGACCCGGGTCAGCAGGAGGCAAGAGTTGAAAGGCCTGAGGTGGGTGGCACCTGAGAGTGAAGCCGGGCAGGTGGCCAGAGTCCCGGGTCCCGGATCCCAAAGGAGAGCAGGACTGGACCTTAGGGTTGTGGAGTGGTTGAGGGTTAGGGCCAGAGTCTGGGGATCCCAAGACGTGTGAGTTGTATAGGTTCCAGGAGAGATGGACCGGGACCCTGACTGCAGGGTCTGAGGGAGGAGGCTGGGGGCCTGGGCTCCTGGGTCTGAGGGAGGAGGGGCTGGGGGCCTGGGCTCCTGGGTCTGAGGGAGGAGGAGCTGGGGGCCTGGGCTCCTGGGTCTGAGGGAGGAGGCTGGGGGCCTGGACTCCTGGGTCTGAGGGAGGAGGCTGGGGGCCTGGACTCCTGGGTCTGAGGGAGGAGGCTGGGGGCTTGGGCTCCTGGGTCTGAGGGAGGAGGGGCTGGGGGCCTGGGCTCCTGGGTCTGAGGGAGGAGGCTGGGGGCCTGGGGCTGCTCCCAGGTCCTGCCTCGCATCTGGGGCCCCGTGCCCCGCCGGCCCGCAGGGACAGAGAACACCTGTTTGTGCTTAGGAGCCTGAAGCTGCTCACCCACCCCCAGGGCCCAATCTGTTTGCTTTGGAAACAACATGGGGGTGTCTCGAGTTATCTGGTTCATCTTTCACCCGTGGGCCACTGGGTGACTGTGGGGGCGGGGGCGAGGGACACCTGTGATCTTAGACTTGACCTCACCCCAACTCTCAACTACTTTCTGGCTCCTCAATGCCTTTACTGATGAGGGAGACTGAGTCACCAAAGTGCCCGACCCTCCTCCCTCAGACCCAGGAGCCCAGGCCCCCAGCCCTCCTCCTCCCTCAGACCCAGGAGTCCAGGCCCCAGCCTTCCTCCTCCCTCAGACCCAGGAGTCCAGCCCCCCAGCCCCTCCTCCCTCAGACCCAGGAGTCCAGGCCCCCAGCCCCTCCTCCATCAGACCCAGGAGCCCAGGCCCCCAGCTCCTCCTCCCTCGGACCCTGGTCTGGCCCTGGGTCAGCCTGGTGCTCTGGCCGCAGACATGCCCGGGAAACAGTCCGATGAGGAGCAGGTGGAGGCGGGGACCCCCGAGAACGGAGCTGAGGCCGCGGACGACCTGGGGGGCCTCACGCTGGAGGAGCTGCGGCAGGGCCAGGAGGCGGCCTTGGCCCTGGAGGACATGATGACCCTGAGCGCCCAGACCCTGGTCCGAGCGGAGGTGGAGGAGCTGTACCAGGAAGTGCGTCCCCTGGGCCAGGGCCGCTTCGGCCGGGTCCTGCTGGTCACCCACCGACAGAAAGGTAGGGGCCTGGGGACAGAGGCGGGGGCGGGGGCGGGGGGCAGGGTTGGGGGCGGCCAGGCCCAGGGGCGGCCAGCTGGCTGTGGAGCCTGCAGACCTGAATCAAGGTTCCCGTGCCCTCCAGGCTGTGTGCGCTGTCGGGAAGTCCGCTGTGAGCCTGGCAGTGCTGTGGTTGCCAGGACAACGGGGTGCAGAGAGGTGCCCCCTTGGGGCCCAGCATGCAGCCAGCTTATCGGTCACCGTGGGGATGGTTCGGAGCCAGGCCGTGTGCCAGGCACCCAGCAATCTGGTGTCTTTCTGCTCAGTGTGCGGACACTGAGCAGACACACACATGCACGCACACGCGCACACACACCGTCCTCCCCACGGAGCAGGACACTGTGGATGGAGCTCAGAATCCATGTCAGTCAGGACTCCCCCTCGGAGCTCCCCTGGGGGCTGGGCCCATCCGGGTGGTGCAGGGGACCCAGGCAGGAGTCTGTGAGCCTCCCCTTCAAGGAGGGAGTCCTGGGGCTGCCACACCCAGGACCAGGGGCAGGGCGTCCCAAAGAAATGTCCGCAAGATGTCGTCACACATTAACGGCTGCCAGCTCAGTCTTGACAATGAGGTGTATGTTAATAAACGCTGCCTTTTTTCTTCTTCTTCAGAGAGGAAGGGAGAGGGAGAGAGAAACATCAATGATGAGAGAGAATCATGGATGGCTGCCTCCTGCACGCCCCCTACTGGGGATCGAGCCCACAACCCGGGCAGGTGCCCTTGACCAGAATCGAACCCGGGAGGGACCCTTCAGTCCACAGGCCGGCGCTCTATCCACTGAGCAGCACGGGCCAGGGCGGTGTGTATTATTTCCTTGGGACACCCTGTCTTCTCACCCACTCCTGGGGGCTGGGAGTCCGGGGTCACGGTGTCAGCTCGGCTGTCCCTCCTGGGCCTGTGTCCTCCGTGGCCGGCCCTCTGTGTGTGTCTGTGTCTGAATGTCCCTGGGGGCCGCCTGGGCCGGGCGGGGCTGGGGACGGAGTGTCGCTGTCCTGGGCGCACTCTCAAAGCTCGGTGCGCCCAGATGGACGGGATCAGCGGCACAGGAGGCGCTGGGGCGGCATGCAGCTGGGGAGGGAGGGAGGGGCAGCCGCATGGGGGAGGCGGGACCTTCTGGGCCCGGGCAGCTCCAGATGGGCGCTGGGCCTGGCAGGTGGCGGCTGTAAAATGGGAGAGAAAGGAATGCGGTCCCGGAGGGCTCACGTTCTAGGGACGTGGGGCCGCTCCCAGGAGGATGGAATTCCTGGAAATTCCTTAGTGCAGTGGTTCTCAACCTTCCTAATGCCGCGACCCTCTAATACAGTTCCTCATGTGGTGGTGACCCCCAACCATAAAATCATTACTTCATAACTGTAATGTTGCTACTGTGATGAATCGTCATGTAAATATCTGATATGCAGGATGTATTTTCAATTGTAACAAATTGAACGTAATGAAAGCATAGTGATTAATCACAAAAACAATATGTAATTATATATGTGTTTTCCGATGGTCTTAGGCGACCCCTGTGAAAGGGTCGTTTGACCCCCAAAGGGGTCGCGACCCACAGGTTGAGAACCGCTGCCTTAGTGGGATCTGAGGCCCAGCACCCAGCTTCTGGGGGGGACCCCCCCCCGGGCCCCCAAAGGTTCTGAGTTCAGTTTTCGTGGAGTCCCTTCGTGGGCTCCAAGTCCGCAGACTTGAGGAGAGCAGAGCGGAACCCCCCAGAATGCTGTTGCATTTTTTAAAATACGTTTTTACTGATTTCAGAGAGGAAGGGAGAGGGAGAGAGAGAGAAACATCAGTGATGAGAGAGAACCGTGGATTTGCTGCCTCCTGCACGTCCCTCCCCGGGGATCCAGCCCGCAAGCCGGGCATGTACCCTTGATCGGAATCGAACCCGGCACCCTCAGTCTGCAGGCTGAGGCTCTATCCACTGAGCAACACGGGCCAGGGCAATGCTGTCATGTTATTACTGCCCGGTGGCCATGTGTGTGTTCGGGTGGGCTTGGCTGGGAGGCGGGACGGAGCCGGTGGAGGTGGTAGAAGGAAGGGACTCCCAGCTGCGGGGCCCACCCCACCGCGCCCTCCTTCCGCCCTCGCCCCAGGCACGCCCCTGGCCCTGAAGCAGCTGCCCAAGGCCTCCACGTCCCTGCGGGGCTTCCTGTACGAGTTCTGCGTGGGCCTGTCGCTGGGCGCGCATCCGGCCGTGGTGGCCGCCTACGGCATCGGCATCGAGTCCGCCGACTCCTACAGCTTCCTGATGGAGCCCGTGCTGCACGGCGACCTCATCCGCCTCATCCAGCCCAAGGTGGGCGCCAGCAGCTCCCTGCGCGCCTGGGGGACCCGCGGCTACTGCCTCCACCGCCCCCCCTTCCCTCCCCCCCGCCCAGGCCCCTGGCCGGCCCCGGGTCTCATGGAACGGCTAGTCCTCCTGGGGCTCCGTGACCCACAGAGCCACCCCTACACCCTCAGATTCGCAGCCCTCACCGATCCTCACGCGGTCACACGGGCTCATGGGGTCACACACGGGCTCATGGGGTCACACTGGGGCTCATGGGGTCACACGGGGGCTCATGGGGTCACACAGGGGCTCGTGGGGTCCCACAGGGGCTCACCTAATTGAGACTCTTGATTCTCCTGGGCCTGCTCCCTGGGGAGAGGGGGAGAGAAGCTGAATCTCCCGGGTCCCCTTCCCTCTGTGGGAGGGACTGCAGCCTGACCCCGCCGTGCGCCCGCCCCGACCCCTGCTCCTGCCTCTGACCCCGCCCCTGCTCCTGCCTCTGACCCCGCCCCCGCCCCCGCCCCTGTCCTGACCCCGCCCCCGCCCCTGACCCCGCCCCTGCCTCTGACCCCGCCCCTACTCCTGCCTCTGACCCCGCCCCCGCCCCGTCCTGACCCCGCCCCTGCTCCTCCCTCTGACCCCGCCCCTGCCCCTGCTGACCCCGCCCCTGCCTCTGACCCCGCCCCTGCTCCTCCCTCTGACCCCGCCCCTGCCCCTGCTGACCCCGCCCCTGCCTCTGACCCCGCCCCTGCTCCTGCCTCTGACCTTGACCCCGCCCCTGCTCCTGCCTCTGACCCCGCCCCCGCCCCTGTCCTGACCCCGCCCCCGCCTCTGACCCTGACCCCGCCCCTGCTCCTGCCTCTGACCCCGCCCCCGCCTCTGACCCTGACCTCGCCCCTGACCTTGCTGCGTGCCCGCAGGTGGGGCTCCCGCAGCCCGCGGCCCAGCGCTGCGCGGCGCAGCTGGCCTCGGCCCTGGACCACATCCACGCGCGCGGCCTCGTGTACCGGGACGTCAAGCCCGAGAACGTGCTGGTGCGCGACCCCGACTGCCGGCGGGTGCAGCTCGCCGACTTCGGCCACACGCGGCCCCGCGGGACGCTGCTCCGCCTGCGCGGGCCGCCGCTGCCCTACACGGCGCCCGAGCTGTGCGCGCCGCCGCCGCTGCCCGACGGGCTGCCCATCCAGCCCGCGCTGGACGCCTGGGCGCTGGGCGTCCTGCTCTTCTGCCTGCTCACCGGCTACTTCCCCTGGGACCAGCCCCGGGCCGAGGCCGACCCCTTCTTCGAGGACTTCCTGGCCTGGCAGGCCTCGGGCCAGCCCGCCGACCGGCCGCAGCCCTGGGTGGGCCTGGCGCCCGCCGCCGACGCCCTGCTGTGGGGGCTGCTGGACCCCCAGCCCCGGAAGCGGAGTCCGGTGAGCTCCGTGCACCGCTACCTGGGCCGGTCCTGGAGGCAGCGGGAGGGGGAGGCGGAGGCGGAGGCGCTGGGGGAAGGGGAGGAGGGGGGCGGAGAGTGAGGGGCAGCCTGGCCCCCACTTGCCCCGGAGACGCGGGGACACCCGGTCCCACATCCTGGGGCTCCTGTGGTGGCTTTTGGCTGCCCCTCTGCCTCTCTGCGTCTGTCTCATCACCGGCCGGTTCTGTCCTCCACCTCCCTGCCTTGTCCTGCGGGCTCTCCGGGCTCCCTGTGTGTGTGCACACCTGCCTCCATCGACCCCAGGGCCTTTGCACTTGCTGCCTCCTCTGCCTGCGGTGCCCTTGGCTCCTCCCCTCACCTCCTGGGGACCTGAAATGCTTCCATCTGGGTCCTGGGGCCGCACCGCCCCCCACCCTCCCAGGCAGCACTGCAGGGGGCCCCAGCCTGGCATCACCACCCCCCTGTGCTCTGTGACACCCAGTCCCCGCCAGCTGCCCAGTTGCGCTGCGCCCTGCTGGGGCCTGAGCTGCTGGAGGCGGGCCCCGGCCTGTCCTGTGCTCCGTGGGTCCCAGGCAGCTGCGGCCGGGCCACCCTGGCCGGAGCAGGGGGCAGAGGCCTGTGGAGTGAGGGGACCCCTGTGGCTATGCCCTGGCCTGTCCTCCCTCACACGCTGCTCCCCCTGGGTCTCCCTCACTCCTGGGCCCCTCCCCTCCTCCCTGTGCTGGGGGGCGCCCTCTTGGTGAAGCGCCTTCTCCTTGCACCCCAGTCCCTCCCTGCAAATAAAGTCCACCTGGCCCCTGGGCTCCGTGAGGCTGTTGGTCTGTCAGCTCAGGGGAGTGGAGGACACTGCACGTGTGTGTGTGTGTGTGTTCGAACAGGAGAGAACATGTGCAGCAGGGAGAGAGGGGAAGGGAGACAGATAGACAGAGACAGAAAGAGAAAGAGAAAGACAGATGCAGAGACAGAAAGAGAAAGAGAAAGATAGATGCAGACATAGACAAAAGAGAAAGAAAAAGACAGAAAGAGAAAGACAGGCAGACAGATGGGTGAAGGGCAAGCGCCCACAGCTGGGTGTGTGTGAACTGGCTCTGGGTGCGGGTGTGGGCCCGGCTCCGTGGGCCTGTTCCTGCCCGCCTGTGTGTGCAAGGAGACGGGTTACCGGGAGCTCCTAGGTGTCCGCTGTCACGACAGGAGTGGGAGTGGGCTGGAGCGTGTATTCCCGTGAACCTGCGTGTGCACCAGCCCCTGAGCCTGTGTGTGCGTGTGCGTGTGTGTGAGCAAGCGAGAGGGGCCAGCATGGAAGCTGTGGTGCGTTCACTCTGTGGCCATGAGATCCCTGTGTCCCCGAGGCCTTGAGCGCCTGTGTGCTGGGGGGGGGGGGGGGGGTCAGCGGGCAGGCGCCACCGCCAGTCACCAGCTGGGCCCCTGCCCCTTCACACCTCCCCTCGCACCAGCCCCCTTGGCAGCCGCCCTGTTTGCAAACACTCTGTCTTCCTCTCCGCGCCCTCCTTGGCCGCCAGCCCAGCGCGAGGCTACAACTAGAGCTGGATCCGGTGTCACTCTCTCCTGGCCCGTCCACACGCCCAGTGCCCCTGCTGTGCCCACGAGGCATCATGGGGCGAGGGGGGGGGGACAACATGGGTGGAGTGAGTGACCCCAAGGGCCCTTTGAATCCAGGTTCAATTCCGAGGACTGGGGACACAAGCCCCTGTCCCGGGCAACCCCGGTGAGCTTCCTGGAGGAGGGGTCCTGGGGGGTGCATTGCGGAAGAGCATGATCGGGGCCTCCTGCCGCCTTATCCGTGAATCTGAAATAGATCCGAAATAGCCTGAGCAATTGGGCCAAGAATGTGTCCCCAAGAGCCAGAGGCGCCTCTGAAGCGGGTGCGGCTGGGCGGAACGAGTGCAGAGGGCAGGGGGCAGAGGTGGCTGCAGACGGTGTTAATTGGGAGCAGCAGCTGAGGCTTAACTGGGAGGTGACAATGACTGGGATGGCCCAGGGGCAGGGGAGGACAGAGATGCCCAGGAGAGACCTGGGGGGGAGGGGGTGCAATGCTAATTAAATATTCGTTGATTAAGTGACACCTGACACTGATTGTAATACTTAGTGCCCAGGAAGCAGAGTCTCCAAGCCTGAGCCCCGAGGGGGGGGGGGGGGACACACAGTGACAGCCCAGTGCTGCCATGATGCCCACCTGTGCCTGCGGAAGGGCAGGGCAGAGATGGGACTTGACCCCGGGCTGGCTCCTGTCCAGGGCTCAGCTATTTAAAAAAAAAATATATATATATATATATATATATATATATTGATTTCAGAGAGGAAGGAAGAGGGAGAGAAACATCCTGATGAGAGAGAATCATGGATCGGCTGCCTCCTGCACGCCCCACACTGGGGATCGAGCCCACAGCCCGGGCATGTGCCCTGGCCGGGATTCAAACCGTGACCTCCTGGTTCAGAGGCCGATGCTCAACCACTGAGCCACGCCGGCTGGGCATGGCCTTAGCTCTTAAATGGCAGGGACGTCCTGTTGCCATCAGTGGGTGAAGGGGCCCTGTGCGGGGGTGGGGAGGCTGGGAGTGTGAGTACGAGTGTGTGTTACCACAAGTGTGTTCGCGTGTTTGTGTGACAGTGTGAGTCTGCGGTGAGTGTGGAAGTGAGAGTATGAGCCTGAGTGTGCATTTGTGTGTGAGCGTATGAGAGGGTGAGTGTGTAAGTGTGAGTGAGCGTGCACGTGTGCATATGAGAATGCGAGCGTGTGAGGGTGTGAATGGGAGGCTATGAGTGTGAGCGCGCGTGTGCATTTGTGTGTGAGAATGTGAGAGTGAGTGTGAGCATGTGGGTGGGAGTATGAGTGTAACTGAGGAGTGCGTGTGGGCACACGTGCGTGCGAGTCGTGTAAGCATGTGTCTGTGTGTTGGTGAGGTGGTCACACCGCCCTTGGAGGAGACTGGATGGGGGCACCTAAATGAAGACAGAGAATGGGACTGAAGCCGGTGTGGCTCAGTGGATGGAGCGTCGGCCTGCGGACTGAAGGGTCCCAGGTTTGATTCCGGTCAAGGGCATGTACCTGGGTTGCGGGCACATCCCTGGTGGGGGATGTGCAGGAGGCGGCTGATCCATGTTTCTCTCTCATCGATGTTTCTGACTCTCTCTCTCTCTCCCTTCCTCTCTGTAAAAAATCAATAAAATATATTAAAAAAAAAAAAAAGTCAGAGAATGGGGCTGCGAAGCCTTCAGACCCACTGAAGGGTCATCACCAAAAGGCCAACGATGGAGTCCGGGGGGGAGGGGGGGAGGGGGGTATGTGTGGAGGCAGAAGGGCATAGAGGGCATAAATGGTGATGGGGAAATTTTTTTTTAAGCTGTAAGGGGAGAAAGGCAGACGATGGTGCATGTTGGCGAGGACGTGAACAAGCTGGTGGAGTGGGAAACAGGGCAGCCGCTGGGGAAGACAGCGTCACTGCCCCTGCACGCAGGACACAGTTCCCATGTGGCCCAGCAATTCCGCTCCTAGGCGCCTGCCCACCGGAAACGAAAACGTACATCCACGTGAACGTTCTCATTATTCACAGTAGCCGAACATTGGAAACAACCCAAATGCCCATCAATAAATGGGTGGGTACACAAAGTGGGGTCCCCCCCGAGCAATGGAACAGTACTCCCCCATGAAAAGGAAGCCCTGCCATGCGCTGCAGCACGGACGAACCTCGAAATGGAAGAAGCCAGTCACAGGAGACAGTCTGTTGCAGGACCCCACTTATGTATGTGAAAGGTCCAGAACAGGCAAATCCATAGGGAGAGATTAGTGACTGAGGCGGGGTGAGGGTGGGGGTGGAGGGGGAAATGGAGGAGGGAAGGGGAGATGGGGAGCGATGGCTAATGGGTACAGGTTTTCTCTTTGGGGGTGGTGATAGGGATGGTGATGGGGTGGAGAAGTTATAAAATTAAATTGTGATGAATGTTGCACAATTCTCAGAAGATATTAAAAACCACTGAATTGGCCCTGGCCGGTTTGGCTTGGTGGATAGAGCGTCAGCCTGCGGACTGCAGGGTCCCAGGTTCGATTCTGGTCAAGGGTTTAAAAAAAACAACACTGAATTGTAGGCCCCGGCTGGTGTGGATCAGCGGTTAGAGCGTCGGAGAGTCGGCCTGTGCACGAAAGGGTTTCAGGTTGGATTCCCGATTAAGGGCACGTACCTGGATTTCAGGTTCAATGTCTAGAGGCAAACAATTGATGGGTTTCTCTCACATCAATGTTTCTCTCTCTCTCCCTCTCCCTTCCTCTCTGAAATCAATAAAAATGTATTTAAAAAAATAAAAGATAAAAAGTGTTTCCCTTCTCCCCTCTCCGTCTCCTCCGTCTCCTCCGTCTCTCTCCGTCTCTGTCTCTCTCCATATGTACATAAATATTTGTTGTTGAGCGCAGCTGTCGCTGGCTGATCCTCAAGGGCGTGGGGATCGCGGACCGGGCACCTGCCAGAGGGCGGAGGCCAGGAACCCGGCCACCAGCGCACACGGGCCTAGGCTTCATACAAAACACAAAATCAAAAGCCAGAACATCAGGCGATGCCAAACCCGCAGCAGCCCCTGCTTGCGGGGGAGGGTTTGGGGGGAACCGGAGGGCGGGCCCCTGTAGACACTCTCTTTGCCGGCAGCTCACAGGGTGCAGCGTGGTGCGGTCACGCGAGTGACATCAGCAGCCCCCGCGACTGCCCACCCACGTTGTTCACAGGCAACGCCTGACCCAGTGGGTCTGGGAGGCCCTCGCTCCTGGCCGCCGGGTTGCCCTTGGGCGCAGGGAGCTGGGAGAACACGGTGCGGAGCTCTGGGCCCACGTCTTAGCTCAACTGTCAGTGACATGGGCCTCGGGTCCACCTGATTCTTCAGGGTTTTCTTACTTCAGAGAGGGAGGGAGAGAGAGAGAGAAACATCAATGATGAGAGAATCATGGATCGGCTGCCTCCTGCACGCCCCCACACTGGGGATCAAGTTCGCAACCTGGGGCTGTGCCCTTGACCGGAATCGAACCTGGGACCCTTCCATCCTCAGGCCGGTGCTCTATCCACTGGGCCACACCAGCCAGGGCTCTTCGGGCTTTCCTGTGGGGAGGTCAGGTCGCCCGCCGTGGCTCTGGGTCTCCGGTGAGGGGCACGCCCTCTGCTCCTGGGTGCCTTCTCTGCATCTGCCCACGGCTCGCGGGGCCTGCGCGGCTACTGTTCTCAGCTTGTTGCGAGCTGGCGGGCACGGCCGGGCTCAGCTGTCCCGTGGGAGGTGTCCGGGTCAGAGCCAGCAGCAGTGGGGGCTGGCGACCAGCCTGGCCGCGGGCCCGGGGGCCAGATGTTCGGGCTTAGCCGCCTGGCCAAGCAGGGATAGAGTGACCGGCTAATTGAGCGCCGCTCCTCGGGGCGGGCAGAGGGTGCCAGGGGCGGGGGACCTGGGGCCTGAGTGCCCACCAGCCTCGGCGACCCCGGCTCCTGGAGAGGGGCCTGGAGCCCGCATCCCCCCGGGCGGGGCCGTCTGGGGTGACCAGGAGCCAGGGCTCGCCGGCTCCCCCGGAGACAGGAAAGGAGACCTTTAGTTCCCCAGCTGGGCTGCATCCTGGAAGCCCTGAGGACCCAGGAGGGCGAGGGGAACGCGGGCAGGAGCGGCCCCCCGGCCTGCAGGTCAGCAGTTATTTAAGTCTCAGGGCTTAGTGAGGCCCGGGAAACAGGAACCCACTGCGTGCTCCTTCGCCTGTTGGCGGGGCGGACAGTCCATCTATCAGGACCCCCAGACAGTGCCCCCCCCCCCCAGCGTGTAAC